TTTTTTTTTTTTTTTTTTTTTTTTTTTCTGGTTCACACATGTAAGTTAAAATTATCATAAAATGGAATTAAACCGCCATGAATTAAAATACATTATTGGCTCAGTAGTTTAATAGTTACTCTTATCTTTAGGAAAGCAAGTCAAGATTTAGTTATTAAACAATGATTAAAATAAGAAAATAATGGTTGAAAACAAATAAAGTGGAAGATTATTTAGTGGCGAAAAGGAAGGCAACATAAGACACCTGGTTGTTTGTGATAAGTATGACCATGTGTACATCACATGCATGCTGTTGAATGTTGATAACTAAAACTCAAATAAATATCCCATCATTTTTGACTGCAACCGTGAGTACAGTTCATTTCCAGCCTAATCTTCCTCGCTTTCACTTGTCTTTGTTTTCACCTTTTACATCCGTAGCTTATCCGTTTTCTTTTCTTACTACTTTTTCATTTTGTTTAAACTGCAATACAAGTTGTCTACATTGGAAATCTACGCTTCATTATCAGGTATTTGATTTTTAACTATTGTCCACACTTTTAATTAATTAATTCATCTCATATGTCGATTTTGAAAATATAAATATAAAGTTCAATAAACATATTATTATACAATTTGTATATTTTAACTAAATTCTATTAATAAAATGTGTTTTTTTAGAACATTTTTATTTGTAATTAAAACTATTGAAATTTATGAAATTACGACTACGAATGTGGCTCAATATATATGTTTTATTTTTTAAATAATAAATTTAAAGTTACAAAAAATAAAAACACCCCATATCGAATGCCAACCTGTCTAATTCAAAATTGTACAACTTAGATAGTGTTTGAATCGATCATTTTCCTCTTTCCCCAACCCAGCTTCGCAGTTCGCAACATGGAATGTCATTTGTGACTATATATGGTTCTACAATGAATGCTAGTTGTCTCCACCGTGCCTTGATTGAGCATTATAGCGACCCATGAGTCATGCAAATTGCAAAATCTGTAATACTAGTTGGATTAGGCATTTAGGGTGGAGGTTTATATGTTTAAGAAGTTCTTAGAGGTTTAATTTGGTTGTTTGGATTGAAGCTTAAAAACTATAATATCACGTACCAAACAAATTTAGTTTTTGACCAAATGGTTTTATCATTTGTTAACATAGGGTAACAATGAATGAGCTCCAAATTTTAGAACCTATAATATTAGTAACTGAATTAATTAATCTTCTTACTTTTGTTGAGCGGTGGTAAATGGTTTCCTGTTGACCAAAAATATGTAAAAAATTTGAGCATCCGTGAGCAATAAAGGAAAAAATAGAGGTAAAGAAAGGAGTGTGAAGTTGGTTGTGGAAAGGAAAGGTAGATTATAATATTAATTTGAAAAAAGCATGGGAGAACAATTATTCCTTGGACACATTAAGTTGTAGCAGAAAGGAAAGCAAAAATGTGGAACCCTAGTAAAGTTCCCTATCCGCAGGCACAGGCACAGGCACACGCACAGGGCATGGGGGGGAGCCTTAGAATTAGAAGCCCTAGGGATGTTCCAGAAGGAACCCCTCACCGCATCTTAATAATAACGGTCCATTACTAAATAGCATTGTCACAAACACTAACCTAACCTCGTCGTCGAGCATTTGCATCTGCCAGCGTCAATCTGCACTACACGCGTCAGCAGAGTGTCCAACAAAGACCCTTTCTATTTCAATTTTCTCTATTCTTTCTAACAAAAACCAGTCACATTATATATTTATTTTCCTTGGTCACCAAACTCTCCAACTTTATGATTATTATTTTTCATGATAAATAAAAATATAAAAAAAGAATTAAAATTTTAATTAACCATCCCTCCCTCCGGGAATTCATTCATTTATTTCTCCATACCCTGATGCAATCTATCAGGAAGTCCTTCAAATCTTATGGTTCCCATAACAAACATTCCAAAAGGTTTTCCGCCGCCGGAAACACCGATTCCGACCACGAGCACCTCCCCATCCTCCTCGACCAAGAACCGCACCGCCACAACGCAATGCCCGCCGGCGACTACGTCGTCAAGATCGACGACGCCGCCGACCCCCCTCCCGCCGCCACCTCATCCAACAACCGCATTTGGCGGGACGAGAGCTTCGATTTCCGCAAGAACGAGGACCCTCCGTCGCAGCTCATCGGACGCTTCCTCCACAAGCAGAAGGCCTCCGGCGAGATGCAGCTCGACATGGATTTGGAAATGGAGGAGCTCCAGCACGACGCCGACGAAGGTAAGTTAACGCCGGTGGAAGAATCTCCGGTCACCAACCGCATGTCCAGGGAGCTCAAGGTCTCCTTCGACGAACCCGCTTCCAATGCCATTCAAGAAGATCCCGTCCGGAGAAGACACAGCAAGGAATCCGCCTCCATCTCCATCGCCGAGTTCCAGCGCCCTCCCCACCCGCCCCTGTACGACCGCCGCCGCTCCCCCTCTCCCTCTCCGGCCAACGACTGCGAGGTCCTCCGATGCACCTCCAACGCTTCCTTCGAGAGGAACCTCTCCATGCAGAGGAAATCCGCTTTGTTGAAGGCCAAAACCCGCTCCAGGCTCATTGACCCGCCCGAAGACCAGCCCGACAGGAAATCGGGTCGGGTTCTAAAATCCGGTCAGCTTCTCTCCGGTTTTTTGGGGAAGAAGGGTGACGACGACGACGACGATCCCTTTCTCGAAGAGGATCTTCCTGATGAGTATAAGAAGACTCATTTTAGCATTTGGACTCTTCTTGAATGGTTGAGTTTGATTTTGATCATTGGTTTGTTGATCACCACTCTTTGTGTCCCCTTTCTCAGGAACAAGGACCTTTGGCAGCTTAGGTTGTGGAAATGGGAGGTTATGGTTCTTGTTCTTATCTGTGGCAGGTTGGTCTCTGATTGGGTTATTAGGATTGCTGTCTTCTGCATTGAGAGGAATTTCCTTTTGCGGAAGAGGGTCTTGTATTTTGTCTACGGTGTGAGGAAGGCTGTTCAGAATTGTGTCTGGTTGGGGCTTGTGTTGATTGCGTGGCATTTGTTGTTTGACAAGAGGGTGCAGAGGGAGACGCACAGTGATTTCCTCGAGTATGTGACTAAGGTGTTGGTGTGTTTCCTTGTGGGGACTTTGGTGTGGTTGTTGAAGACTCTTGTGGTGAAGGTGTTGGCCTCTTCTTTCCATGTGAGCACGTATTTTGATCGGATTCAGGAGTCACTGTTCAATCAGTTTGTGATCGAGACGCTTTCGGGGCCTCCGTTGGTGGAGATTCAGAAGGCAGAGGAGGAGGAGGAGAGGCTGGCTGATGAGGTTCAGAAGCTGCAGAATGCTGGGGTTACCATACCCCCTGACCTTAGGGCAACTGCTTTTACCAATATTAAGAGTGAAAGGCTGAGGAGTGGAGCGCTGCAGAAGAGCCCCAGAGTTAAGAGTGGCAAGTTTTCGCGGCCTCTTTCCAAGAGGTCAGATGATGGGAATGTGATCACCATTGATAACCTGCATAAGCTGAATCCCAATAATGTCTCCGCCTGGAATATGAAAAGGTTGATTAATATGGTCCGCCATGGGTCTCTTTCTACGTTGGATGAACAGATACTCGATAATGCCAATGATGATGAAAATGCCACGATGATTCGAAGCGAAAACGAGGCAAAAGCTGCAGCTAAGAAGATATTTCAGAATGTTGCTAGGCGCGGATGCAGGTTGTCCCTTAACCTGTTGCTTACCTATTATGGTAATGGAGGATAGCATTTGTTACTATAAGTTTTTCTTAGTTTCTTGTATCCTTTTTTCTCTGTTATCTTATTGGTAGGTATATATACCCCGAGGATTTGATGCGGTTTATGCGCGAGGATGAAGCTGCGAAAACCATGAATCTCTTTGAAGGAGCTGCCGATGCTGGGAGAATCGGCAAATCGGCCTTGAAGAACTGGGTGGTGAGAATTAACTAGCATGACATATGAAAAGCTTAATTTGAAGAAATCAAAGGATTGATATATTTACTGTTGTGTCTAAAACGTGTAGATATCAATGTGTGTCCTTTTTCTGTGGATTGTCTGACTCGTTTACTTGATGCTCTAGTTACATTCTCAATATGGTTCTGACATTATTTACTTGTTACAAACAAACCTTCACCTATATCAAACTCATTTTTAAGGCATGCATGTATTCGCATGATTTGAAATGTCTTTTTTGTTATTTTGAATAAATAAATTTTGCATATAGGTCGGAGTCAATATTTTTATCCTTGACTGGTCTTAATTAATATTTACATTCAAATGTTTGCGTTTGCTTTTATAGTATTTACAGAGTGGTTTCAATTGATGTTTACATGCAGCACTTTTAGTTTGGTTGTATAGTATTTACAGCAGTATCTTGCATTTAACTACTCAGGTCAATGCCTTCAGGGAAAGGAGAGCACTTGCTTTGACATTGAATGACACCAAGACGGCAGTGAACAAACTTCATCGAATGCTAAATTTTATAGTTGCAATTGTTATACTGGTTATTTGGCTCTTGATATTGGAATTTGCCACCACCAAATTTCTTCTCTTTGTGAGCTCACAGGTTGTTGTGGTTGCATTTGTATTTGGAAACACCTGTAAGACCATATTTGAAGCAATTATTTTCTTATTTGTCATGCACCCATTTGATGTGGGAGATAGATGTGAAATTGATGGGGTTCAGGTAACTTGATTCATTCACAAGTTTACAGATTCTGTTTTCATGTAGACCTAGCCTAATTTCCCCTCCCCCCATGTTTGCTAACCAATTTCAGATGATTGTAGAAGAAATGAACATACTGACAACCATATTTCTGAAATGGGATAATCAAAAGGTCATCATCCCTAATAGTGTCCTTGCTACCAAGCCCATATATAACTTTTACCGGAGTCCTGACATGGGAGATACTATCGAATTCTATGTACACATATCTACCCCAGTTGATAAGATTACAGCTATGAAACACAGAATATCAAGGTATGTGTTGACGAGAGTGTCTGTTTCCTTTGTCTATGCTTGTTGTATATACATATATCTGATTGGCTGAAACTACTAATGATCACAATGCAGTTTCATGGATAACAAGAAGGAGCACTGGTATCCTTCACCGTTATTTGTAATCAGGGATTTTGATCATTTAAACATGATCAAAATGGCTATCTGGCCAATTCAAAAAATGAACTTCCAGGACATGGGAGAAAGGTATGAGAGGAGAGCCCTTGTGCTGGAAGAGATGATCAAGACTTTCAGAGAGCTCGACATGAATTACCGTCTCCAGCCTCTGGACATTAACGTGAGAGGCGTGCCTACCACTTCTGATCGGCTTCCACCTAGTTGGACAACAGTTTCGAATTGAGCATACAAGAATATCTTCTGATCATGCTAGGAAGTGCTATATTTTAGCTGAATATAATATTGTAAAGAATCAGTCCTTTGTTTTAGATTAGTTTGATATGTACTAATGTTAGTCTGTACTGTAGCTATGAAGCCATGCCTAGGCACATGCCTATCTCATGTAGTTTTGTTGAAATCATTAGTATTAATCGCTACCTCTTTTATACAATTATATTACCATATTCTGTCTAAAATTTCGTTGTTTCTTCCTTGTCCCAGCAACATAAGGGTGACAGTTAATTTCTAGTCGCTTCTTTTTATATGAAATATTTTCTTATAATATCTTCTTCATATTAATGCATTTATTTAAAGATATTCAATACTTTTATTTTTTATTTAGTATTAAAGAGTAGGGACATAAATATGATGTTATTATAAGATGTAGGATTATTTATGTATCAGGGAGATAAATATGTAGTGATTTAGCATTAGTTATAGCTATGAAGCAAGTAAAATATAAATTCTGAAGCTACTGCAAGTGCCAATAACAGAGGAGAGGAGCTGGGTGTGTGTGGGAGTATTGTGCTTGATCATCTCGGAATTTTAGCCTTTCCCCATCTGATTGGGAAATCGAATAGTCATCCAAGTCAAATTATGGAGTTTTTGGTATGGCTCAATCATAGCTTTGAACCTTGACTAGTGGCTACAAATAGATGCTGATGGCGACTGAAAATTTTCATTATCGTATTATATTTATTTATTACATCATATATATATATATATATAAAGAGATTCATTTAACTCAAAAATAAATTTTGATAAATTTATTCTACTCAATAATTTATATTCTACATCAATTTTTAATAATTTAATTTTTAATTGTTGAATTAAAGTTCTTAATATATAAATTAAGTTTACAAATTTTTAAATAAATTTGAAAAGTACATTATACATCACTATATATATTTAAATGAGGAGGAGACTGACGAGCTGTTAAAATATATCTGATAGAGCGAATACTCTATCATGGATCAACTTCATAGGATGCCAGCAAAGATTACTCTGTTGTCGTTGATCCTAAGCTCCGAACCGCATCGGCAAACTCTGTTGAAAGTCTTGAACGAGGCATACGTGTCGCATACTATCTCCCAAGACAAGTTTGAGGGGATTGTTAGTCATATCACGGCTAATGATCATCTCACTTTCACCAATGAAGAAATTTCCACTGAGGGACCAAATCACAACAAGCCCTTGCACATCTCTATAAAGTGCAAGGAATATCACATCGCTAAAGTCTTGGTGGATAATGGATCTTCCTTGAATGTGATGCCAAAAAGAACGTTTGATCAAGTGGCAATCAAGGGAATCCAAATGCGCCCGAGCAACATGATCGTCCGAGCTTTCGACGGTTCTAAAAGAGAAGTGGTGGGAGAAATCAATCTTCCAATCCAAATTGGACCCACCATCTTTAATGTCGAATTTCAAGTGATG